AGTAGCCATCGATAGCCCTCTCCATCATAAACTCATCCTTTTTCACAGACATCCAAACTGGTGGTCATTACCGCCTCCTGCGGGAGCCAGTTCCATAGTTTGTGTTGCCTGAGTAAGTAAAGGTAAAGGGACCCCTGACCATTAGGTCCAATAGTGGCCAACTCTGGGGTTGTGGCACTCATCTTGCTTTATTGTCCGAGGGAGCCGGCATACAGCTTGCGGGTCATGTGGCCAGCATGACTAAGCCGCTTCTGGCGAACCAGAGCAGTGCATGGAAACGCCATTTACCTTCCCACCTATTTATCTACTTGCACTTTGACGTGCTTTCAAACTGCTAGGTGGGCAGGAGCAGGGACCAAGCAACGGGAGCTCACCCCATCGCGGGGATTCGAACCGCCGACCTTCTGATCGGCAAGTCCTAGGCTCTATGGTTTAACCCACAGCGCCACCAACATCCCTGAGTAAGTACTCTGTCCTAAATCTTCACTGCACGTCCCTGAGTTGTGGTGTTGTGGGGAAGGGAGATAAAACCTTCCTCTACCACGTGCATAATTTTATATACCTCTAGCTTTCTCCCCACAGGCTCCCCAGTCCTGCTTTATTGCGGCATTTTTCTTCCTACCTCCCCCACAATTTTTTAAGATGCAGATTTAAATGGACTTTGCATGATTAATCGCTGAATATTTCTTTGAATTGGGTGGCTGCCAACCTTCCGAATTAACTTCCAGGAGGGTGTGCAGTCCCACCTTATCTTGGCAGGTGTCCTGGACGAAGCGCCAGCTGATTATGGGTTTCCCTTTCGGGCTGCATGTGTTCCTGCCGTATAATTAGAGGTGCTTTTTATTGCTCCCTCTGCATAATAGATCACCGGTTTCACCTTCAAATCGGAATGCTAAACTCCCCTTGTATTGATTTGCAACTTGCCTTGAAAGTAGGAGCGGTGGGATAAAAATAACGCAGGTTAAAAATAAAAATGAACACCTGGTTTCATGGGACAAAAGGAGTGACGGTTGTACCCTTTGGGTTTGGGGGATGCGGGAGGCCAGAAATCACACCCATGGATAGCCAACAAACTCACTGTCTGCCTTGGAGGTGGTGGTAGTAGTAGTAGTAGTAGTTTGTACCCCACCCATCTGACTGGGTTGCCCCAGCCACTCTGGTCAATGTTATTTCTCTTCCTGGCATAAGTACTTCTGCAGCTTAGTGGTCGGCTGGCTGGCTGTCATCCTCAACAGGAGTCCTCCACTCTGCAACAATTTGTTGCAGGTACCACTTGGGCCATCCACATTGTGAGAATGAAACGGCAGTGAAGAGACACGAAAGGGCACGATAACTAAGCTTATTCCGGGAATTTCCAAGCCGGCTATCCATTCTCACACTGCACCTCACCTCCCAAATACGGGAAGCCCTTTGCTGGCTGCCAAAGTTATAAAAAGGGAGAGAGAAAGGGAGAGAGAGATGGAGAACAAAGTCTGTATTTTAACATGCCAACACAGGAACAGGATGCTGCAAACTGACCCTGTCAGATATCCTGTTAATTGCTTTCCCCTTAATGGATTCAATGCTTCCCGATGACCGTTGCCGGGGCAGAGGAGAAAAACACAGAATAATAGAAATAAAATAATAAACGCAGTTGCGTGCACTGATTGCTGCAAAAGAAGAAAATCGGACAATTCCATGGAGTTCCTTGGGAAGAGTGATTGATTGTTGTTAAAGCAGTTTCTGGAGGAAACTGTAGCTCTGGAAGAGGAACAGGGGTCTCCTAGCAGCTCTCAGCACCCTTGACAAACTATAGTTCCCAGGATTCTTCCCTGATGGGTTCTCCAAGGGCAGCCCTGACAAAGAGGAAGCTGATAGGCAGAACCAGCCCCTGAACTGGTTGTAAGGAAGGAGGCAGGAAGGGAGTGGCTGGCTGTGGCTGGTGGGGCAGTGCCCCATTCTCTCTAATGGACCAGCCTTCGTTAGGGGCAACAGAGAAGGGAGACAACGAAAAAGTGGGCGGCTTTGAGGCACCGGCCAACTCCCAGCAGCCAGAGTTTACATACTGGGCCTTCCCAGCTACGTTTTGAGGTGTCAATTGTAGGAGGGCCATTAGGTCAGTTTAAAGGTACACAAGGAAACACGATGAGGAACGAAATGTCCTCTTGCCTTTTGGAAATTGGTGGGAGGCATGAGAAATGGACGAGGTCTAGAGCCGGCAGAGAAGGAGAGCCTTTGGCTGCTGAAGTTAAGCAACATGTAGCAGCTGGTAACTGGAGGGGGGGGATTCGTTTGGACAACGGTATTTGTCACAAGCACTGGAACACCAAAAAGAAGCCCCACTCTTCAACTGTGCAGGAAATGGAGAGCTTTACCATTTGATCCTGACAGAACTGGTAACAAGCTCTCCCTGATATGTTGGAAGTAAAGCAACAAGGCCTGCAATAAGCTACCTGAAGCAGCAGGCAGAAAGGCAACCTTTTCTTCCCTTGCTGATTCCTTCTTAACTACCCGCAAGTTGGTTTTCTCTCTCCGGCTTTACTTCCTTCCTGCTGCTTCTCCAATGAGTGTTAGACCTTCTTATTGTGGCTCCATGACAGCAGCATGTGAGCTGGCACTCAGAATGGCCTTGTTTGCCAGGACTAATAAACCTTATGTTTCTATATTCTTTCCACCAGATTCCTACTTTGCAAGGGGTTGGACTAGATGACCCTTGGGGTCTCTTCCAGCTCTAGGATTCTATGATTCTATCAGGCTATTTCTGTATGATAGGACACCTGCTAGAACAGCAATGGGGAGCCTCGCATGCAGCCTTCCAAGTCCTCTCATTCTGGCCCGTGGGACTCCCCTAGGCCACACGCACCTACCCCAGGCCACACTGCAACATTTTGTTGCAGATCCCACTTGTGCATCCTAAACCAGTTTAAAACTCTAGTGTAAATACAACCTGCAGGGTTGATATTCCATTTTGCTTCCCATCAATTAAAAAACCCCCACTCCTTGTGACTCTGAGGCGACTAGCCAAGCAAAGTATGATGGCTTTTAGAAAAAGGCTTTTAGAAAAACTCGCCTTTTTGTCACACTGAGTCGGCAGCTGAGGAGCCCAGACATGCACCCACTGACATAATTAAATGTGTATTTTTATCCCCAAGGTATCTAAACTTGAAATGAAGGGTTTGGGGGGTGGGGTTTTGTTTTGTTTTGTTGTTGAGGCAGGCACAGACACGTTTCACCTCAAGATAGCACGCTTGCGGTAACCTACATCATGTGGCAAAACACCACTTCCTGACGTGAGGTTCAAAAAGGAAAAAAAAAGGAGGAAAGGAGAAGTTACTGCATGATGGCCAACCACCAAGTGGAAAGTGTGAGGGGAAACTTGGGGTCCTTTGTCTCCGAGGCACACCCAGCTATCCCTGGAAGTGACCGCGGTTGTGAGGCCCTGCCGGCCACAAGGCCGGGGACTGTCATAAGTGAAGCAGACAAGCTCAAAATGAACCACCTGGCTTTGTTCATGTATGCAACAACGGCCGCAAGAATACTCCTGGCCCAGAAATGGGAGCAACAAGAACTCCCCACCTTGGAAGATTGGCAAGAAAAATGGTTGAGTATGTGGAGCTGGCAAAGTTGACGGGGAAGATCCGGAATCGACGTGATGAACTGTTCCAAAAGGACTGGGGCAAATTTATACTTTATATGAAAGAAAATTGTAAACAGTTGAAAACGTTTGTAGGTTTAAGTTGAAATGTTTGGTAATGGGAAATTAAAAAGCTGATTTACTTATAAGAAGGTGATTGCTTTAAGATTGATATAAGGTAAAAAAGTGAAATATAGGAATGTGAAGAAATTGGTAAAGTGATATGGAAGGCTGTTAAAGGGAGGGAGGAGGTTGATGCTTTATTTAAGCAATGCTTTAAGTTATAAATTCTTTGATTTTTTATTCTGAAATGTAATGAAATATGGAAAACTTAATAAAAATTATATTTTAAAAAAAACAAAAACAAAATGAACCGCTTGGCCAGCAAACTGAGAGGAAGGTTGCCCTTTACGCCGGGCGCTAGCAACCAAACAAGCCTTGCTGAAGCAGATACCTGACCCATTTTACTGAAAGGAAAACTGAGAGGGCGAGAGGAAGAAGGGGACTGAGGTCACAAGGCAAAGCCCGTGGCAGAGGCAGGAATCCCTTTTGGAAATGTAAACAGTGAATAGTCCTGGGAAATGGACCTGCGCGATCTGCCCCCTCCCTGCGAGGTGACAACCAGCATTCAATTATTAGAAACGGCACACCCCATGGGATCACGTGGGTGGCTGCTCACCATCTGGGTGTGACAGGATGAGGGTGATCCCAGGAATGCAGATGGACCAATAAGACGAGAGGAGTGTGGGATGGTTGGCTGGCTCCCTCCTTCTGGAGGGAAATGGCCCGGCACGACTTTGATTGATCTCGCCAGGAATACATTAATTAGCCCTCTTCAACAGCAGGTTGCAAAACAGGAGCATTTCTGTTCCCAGCTGCGGAGGACTGTGGCGTCACAGCGCTGGCGACGGAAAGCTGCAATGTCTCCGGCACAAACAACCCCTTCCCACTCCTGGGTCCAGAAACAGGTGTGTGACTTGGAGGTTGCTGGAGGATGCTATATTTAGCCTCCCAAAATTAGGCAAGAGCAGCGCCCGGCATGCCAAACCCCAAATTGCACCTGACGAGTTTGGAGCTCAAAGGGCAAAACAGAGGCGACAAAGAAGCAACGGCAAGGTTGTTTCGGGGCAAATCTTCCCTGTGCGGTGGGATTTTGTCACACGCTAGGGAGAGGAAGGTCTGTCCAATTATTCAGTTGACAAAAGTTTCTGCTGGTATTTGTCTATGTCACAGCATACAATTAATAAACAGACTTTTGCCTCTCTCTCGTTTAAGCTAGCAAAACTTCCACATGAAAGCTTAGAAGCAAAGCTGCAATACTTAGTTGATCAACACAGCCCAGAATAAGCTGCAGAGCACCCACTGCTTCCTCTGCACATGATCTTACCTGCTCAGTGATGAAGGAGCTGGAAAAGGTGATGGCCGACCAGAAGAAAATGCCGCAGCTGAGAATAATTTTCCTGTTGAAACGGTCACCCAGGTAGCCGAATATTGGGGCTGCTACCATGAAGCTGCAGATGAAAACTGTAGGAGGAGAGAGAAGCAAAGAGATGGGTTGAAGAAGAAGCATTTCCCAAACTTCAGCAGGTGCTAACTTATGCTGTCCCAAAGGAATGCAACAATCACCTCTCCTACTCCTGGGTGAATTGCCTAGCGTGCAATTCCTCACCTACAGCATCCTTTGCCAACCTGATGCCCTCCCTATTTTGGGGACCACAACTCCCATTTGAGCAGGCAGGAGGTGTAGACCAATGACTGGGCTGAGAGCTTTAAAAGCAACTCCAGAAAGCTTTTCGCAATGGAGGATTTGGATAAAGCGTAAGAAAACTATGACAGCACCAACAGTTGCCAAAAGATCTGCTTTATTTAGATATAGGGGTGAGATAATTTGCTCAATGACGAGGGGTGTCAGAAGACATCGTTTCCCGACCTAGCCTATATTCATTGCATGTTGTAGCTTTGTTTCTGTTCTGCTGCAGTTCTTCTTCCGTCAAAAACCACATGATTAAATAATAGAATCAATTGAATAATTATTAAATTATAATAACACAACAAGATGGAAGAAGTAAAATATTGAGATCACACATGGGTGAAGGGGAGTGGGGGGGTATATGGGAATCTATAATATCATTTATAATATAATTTGTTAATTGCGTTGTATTTACATATAGCAAAGGGAAGCCTAGAGCAATTAGATATGTTTTAATTTAGGTAATCTATGTAATAGGCTTATGTTCGAAAATGAATATGGATTTTGAATTTGATGTTTCTAATTTTTTTTTGGTTTTGAAATAAAAATTAAAAAACAAACAAACCACATGATTAGTCTCAATGTCAATTATGCAAGTTGCGTAATGGGTTACACATGTTGCTTTGTTTGGACATTATCCCACTCCATTCCTTTCGATGCAAAGGAAACTCAATGCAAATGGGGGAGGGGAAACATAATCGTGTATCACAGAATCATAGAGTTGGAGGGGATCCTGAGGATCATCTAGCCCAAGGCTCTGCAATGCAGGAATATACAGATGCCCCATATGTGGATCAAACTTGCAACCTTGGCATCATCAGCACCATCCTCTAACCGACTGAGCTATCCAGGCCGTTTGCAAACTGAAAGCAATAACAGGAAATACCAATTGTATTTGCTAGATTGATCTCTGTTGCAGACATGAAAAGAATAGGATAGCATCTGCAAATCCCCCTGCCCCCGTTTCTGTTCTCATCAGAAGTATACAACATCCCTACCTGGGATACCTTTTTCAGAGTTGAGTATCTCCTGCTAGCACACACTGGAAAATTCCCTGCAAGATCTAGTAACCAACAGAATAGAATCCTGTTCTTGGGCGTTTCTTCTTTAGCCAACTCCATAAAAACATAATGGAAGCTGGGCTGATTCAGATTAAGGTTCCCTCTAGCCCAGCAGCCCATTCCCCAAAATGCCCAACTACATGCTTCCAGTTACCCCACTAGTACTGAATGAGAACAGATTTCCCTTGCTGTCCAACCCCTCCTACAAAGGGTATCCAAAAGTGCAAGTTAGTTAAGCTGAGTGTTGCAGGATGGAGTGTTCCTGCTCAGGGTTTCAGCCAGCCAGTCAGCAGTGCCCAGCTCCACAGTGCTCCGTTCCGTTACCTCCTCCCCGCCAGTCCCCCACCCCACCCCAGTCAATGTTGCTTGTATGGCCGCTGTACTTTTTTTTGGGGGGGGGAGGTCTCCCCAGCATCTTGGGTGTTCTTTGCAAATATCTTTTTTGGGGGGTGGGGTATATCTACAAACCTCAAGTCTGGTGCTAACCCTGAGTTAGGCTGCTAACCCTGGTGGCGATGTTCTGCCTCCACTTTCAGAGGCAATATACTTCTGAATACCAGTTGCTGGAATCTGCAGGAAGGGAGAGTGGCTATCCCAGATAACCGACATAAGCTTGCAACCAAATTAATAGGAGTCGTCACCCAATTAAAGACATCTTAGCCAATTAATTTCATGGCCCTGATTAAATCTGCATTACCTTGCATATGAGAAAATCCAACCGCCTGCAAAGGAAGGAGGAGCCCATTTTGTTCACTTATGCAGAGCAGCCTCAATTATATTAGAAAACCTGTTCCCATGGGATATAGGAAGCTGCCTCCTACAAAGTCAGACCACAGGTCTCCAGAGTTTCAGGCAACAGGCATTTCGAGCCCTATCTAGAGACATCAGAGGCTGGAACTGGGACCTTCTGCTTGCAAAGACGATGCTCTAACCACTAGGCTGCGCTATATAGGCATTGCTAAGTTGCCACTAGAGATGGAGAGACCTGTCACTTTCAGGTTTCCCCAATTCCCCACATTCCTGCAGCAATTTGTAAAAAAACAACAACAACCCACCAACAACTTCTCTTGAAAAATCCTCACGAAAATTATTCCACATTTTATGGCCAATTTCTCCCAATAGACACGTTTTTCTATGCAGTTTTAACTAATGTAGACATTTCTTGCCAGCTACTTCTCCAAATAGCATGCATCTTTGTATACTTTTTAATCGATTTATTCAATTTCAGGCACACTTTTACCTAATGCATGCATTTTTATAAGCGCTGGTTGGAGAACTGAATGCAAAATTCGGATACGCATGAATGTCAAAGGACAGCTGTGTTTTGGTTCTCATGCTGTTTCAAAAAGTGCAAACTTGACACGACTCATTTTAAAACACAGACCGAATTAAATTCCTCCCCGATCCCTAGTTGTTATTTGCAATTTGTTACACATACTTGTGTTAAAAGTAAGTTAGATGTGCTCCACAATTTACCAGCAGTTCTTTAGTCCATCAGAATGTGAACTAGATTGAAATCTCAAACATGAGTTTCTGGCCATGTCACAAGTCAATGGCGGACGCTCCCCATAGCCCCTCTGTGGGCTGCAAGGAGGTCCAGGCAGAGGAAAGCCAGGATTTATGAGGCACAAATCCTGGCAACGCTCCCCTGTGGGGTCTGGGGAGCTCACTGCATCCTGATGTGCTGCTCAAGCCTGTGTCTGCCAAGTTGAAAGGCAGAGCGGGTGCGACCTGGGAGCGTGTCCCTGCCATGGAAGAGCCTCTGCCTCCGGCATGATTTATGGCTGGTTCCTCCATAATTTGGACAATTGGCATTAATCAAGAGGCACTCCTGGACCTACATATGCTAATGGGCTGCAATCAGTCAGCTGCCGAAAGGACTGGGCTTGGCTCTTTGAAGGTATTTGAATGTTTTCTTTGAAGCTTGAAAATCCTTACAATAGCCAGGAAAGGAAGGAGGAAAACAAGGTGCTTTGTGCTTTCTTGTAGTTTCCAAATGGTCTCTTTTTTTCATTGTCTTCCCTGCATAATGAAAGAGTCATGTGTAGCCGCTGCTACAGTGGTACCTTGGGTTAAGTACTTAATTTGTTCCGGAGGTCCGTTCTTAACCTGAAACTGTTCTTAACCTGAAGCACCACTTTAGCTAATGGGGCCTCCCGCTGCTGCCGTGCTACCGGAGCACGATTTCTGTTCTTATCCTGAAGCAAAGTTCTTAACCTGAAGCACTATTTCTGGGTTAGCGGAATCTGTAACCTGAAGCGTATGTAACACGAAGTACCACTGTATGTTACTCTGTTTGTTAAATCAAAGCCCCCCCCCTTTCGAAGTAAGCTCAACAAGGAATTTAACAAGGTTTTACTATATGCCCCCTCGACTGAGGATGAATGGACTTTGTTTAAAATTATTCCTGGACTGCTGTTGGAGAAATGCAGTGGGGGGGGAGAATGAACTGCTGCTGAACAGATGTGGTAAAGAGGCTGAATTTGAGGAAAAGATCTTGCTTTTAACTGTGGGCTGAGGAAGAACTCCAGAGTGGAATTTTAATGGCGGAGTTTGGATATGCATTCTGTGAATTATTTATGGCTGCAGCTCCTCCGCTCGTCTGTAAACAGTGGAAGGAATGGAATGTGAACTTATAACATCCAGATAAACACTGCAAAGATCTGAACAATGTTCCAATACACCCGGTCTGGAACAACAATGTATATGAAGGATTACACACGTGAAACGGATTATTTATTTATAAGATGTAACAGAGGTGCTGCTCGCAAGGTGGAAAAAGCAGCCAGCTAGAAGAGTGGTTAAACAGCCAAGTGAAGGATGTCAGCTGGACTCTAAATAAGAAATGATGAGGCTATGAGAGAAAATGGTAGTGGTCATGTTTGGAACAGGAGCGGGAAAGCTGATTTTAAGAAATTGTATTAAATTAAATTAATCTGGTTTGATTTGTAATAATTTGGAAAAATAATTAAAATAATAATTTGGAAAAGAAATCTCAAACATGCTTACAGTCCTATCAAACACAGTGAAAATGACTTCCAAGTAAGCACACATAGGACTGTGCTGATAATCAGTGAGACGAACTGGTAAACCTATAGTGGAATCCTATAGATGCGCACTAAGAAATAAGTCTCACTGATCTGCACAGACTTTGGCTTACTCCCAAAGTAAGTCAGTGCAGGATTGCAACCATTAGCGTCACAGCCTTACAAAATCACTGTCTTGGATTTTTTTGCAATGGAAGTTGGGAGTGTTATTAAACGCACGACAGGACACAATCTTCCAAGCACACACTTAATTATTACTCTAAGATGTTGGAGAAGCTGTTAATAATTCGAATAAAAATGAACAGCAAACTAACTTGCTCATCAGGAAACAGCAACCCATCAGGAAATGTGAGATCTGAGCAGCATTCAGTTCTGCATACATTTTCTCCCATTACAAATAATTTGTTGGCTAAAAGCAGATGTCACCCTGCGTTGTGCAATGCGCCTTGCTAATATTTTCCATTTTCCCTCCTTGTATTAGCAAGTTACATTTAAAAGCCAACAATTAGAAGACTGATGCTGATGTGCAACATGACCGGAGAGGGGAAGAGATGCATAGAGGCGGACAAAGGAATAAATTCATTGCCAAGAACAAAGAGATGACAGAGCCCAGATGGCACAATAACGAGGCCAAGCCTGTCACAGCTATACATTTACAGGAGCCTC